GAACTATCTATAATAATCACTGTATAATACGGCTTTTATTATTACTCCTACCAATTTATTATTGACATACAATCCTAGGGCATCATCCGATGCAATAAAAATACAGAATGCTTGTTGTACAAATTGCATCTGGCAACAAAACTAAGGACAAAATGAGTCACACACACCTAAGGTTATAGGGCCAAGCTATATCACCCATCGCTCTTGATTTGTGTAAAAGTTAACAATCTGGGATAGTTAGCAGAAGATTAATTCTTCTCCTCCCACACACCTTCAAAACCACGAGTTTACACAACAGCGCTACCTAATGCCTATGTATATTTAACCATGTTGAATGGCTGTAATACATGGGAAAATCCCATTGGAGGAAAATTCCACTTAGGGTTAGGGTTAGGTCACCAGGAACTTGAAGATCAAAATGGACATCGCCAACAAATTCGGAGTGCTTTGGTATGGTTGGGAGGGCACTGACTTTTCTAGGCTGCCCTATCTATGTTTCTTGGTAAAATACATGGGAAAATCCCATTGGAGGAAAATTCCACTTAGGGTTAGGGTTAGGTCACCATGAATTCATAGTACAAAATGGACATCGCCAACAAATTCGGAGTTCTTGGGTATGGTTAGGAGGGCACTGACTTTTCTAGGTTGCCCTATCTATGTTTCCTGGTAAAATTCTATTCTACTCTACTCTACTCTACTCTGCTCTACTCTACTCTACTCTACTCTACTCTACTCTACTCTACTCTACTCTACTCTACTCTACTCTACTCTTTACTCTTTTTAAAACTCCAGTGATTGAGCACTCACAACTTCCAAAGTTAAATGAGCCTACTGATAGTTCTCACTGTCAGGAAATTTCTCCTTAGTTCTAGGCTGCTTCTCTCCTTACTTAGTTTCCACCCATTGCTTCTTGTCTTCTGGGGCTTTGAGAAATAGGTTGAACCCCCCCCCCCCTTTGTGCTTCTCTCGCGTCTTTTGCTTTGTATGTACACTGATAGCTTCTGCACTGGAGACAAATTCCTTGTGTGTCTAATCACACTTGGCCAAATAAAGCATTCTAGTTCCACCCATAGCTGATGTTGCTCCTGAGAATATCATGGGGACAATCAAGGATCAGAATGTTTTGGCTTGAAACAGGAAGCCATGTTTGGCCATTTTTTCATGAATCAGAGCTAGCAGTATGTAGTTTTTCTGTTTGCAACGGTGTAGTCTCCTTCCCAGGAAGCTGGGTTGTGCCTTTTAAATGTAAAGGATCCTTCTGCATAGATGCCTCCTTAACCGGTGTTGTTTTTGGCTACTTGCCTCCAAAGGCTTAGTGAAGTGCGTAAATCTTGAACAGTAATAAACAACTGGATCTGTTAGTTGACAAGTTAATGTTTAACAGGCTAACAAACCTGTGATTGAGTGCGGTTTTTGACTGATTGGGAAAGGCCTTTCATAACGTGGGCTTTTTGTCTATGTGTGTGCATTTTGCACCAGGAACATTAATAATAAAATAATATTTTCGAAAAGAATCTTGACTACGTCGAGCTGCTTTAGGTAAATTTGCACCTTGGCTGGATTTCGGTGAGAACTTCTGACAGCTTCTTGGTCACTAATGATTTTATAAACTGGTTGAAATGTTCCTGTCGATTGATAATTGACTAGTAATCCCTCTCTATTTGCTGCTTAATAGATGCAAGGTCAGTTAACAGCAATTTTAAAAGGCTGCAAGGAATTGTTTTCTGGGATTTAAATATATATATATATCTCCAAGCAGCGAGAAAAATGTTAAAAGGTGTCAGCTCTGGAACGAATCTGGAAAGATCACTGTAAGTAGGATTGACTTCACCACAGAGGCACCCAGAATAACCAGCAAAGGTGCCAATTGCCAAGAAAATTTGCATTTCAGTTTTGGCAGCTGCCAAAAAAGCCAACATAGTGCTAGGCTGCATTAACAGAGGGATAGAATCAAGATCATGTGAAGTGTTAATACCACTTTACAACACCTTAGTAAGGCCACACTTGGAATACTGCATCCAGTTTTGGTCACCACGATGTAAAAAGGATGTTGAGACTCTAGAAAGAGTACAGAGAAGAGCAACAAAGATGATCAGGGGACTGGAGGCTAAAACATATGAAGAACGGTTGCTGGAATTAGGTATGTCTAATTTAATGAAGAGAAGGACGAGGGGGGACACGATAGCAGTGTTCCAGTATCTCAGGGGCTGCCACAAAGAAGAGGGAGTCAAGCTATTCTCCAAAGCGCCTGAAGGCAGGACAAGAAGCAATGGATGGAAACTAATCAAGGAGAGAAGCAACCTAGAACTAAGGAGAAACTTCCTGACAGTGAGAACAATTAACCAGTGGAACAACCTGCCTCCAGAAGCGGTGAATGCTCCAACACTGGAAGTTTTTAAGAAGAGACTGGAC